TTAAAGACCTTGCATGTCCTAAATTATTACTGTACTGCCTTAATGTGTTTGAGAGACTTATTAAGCTTCAGAAATATGAACATGAATCTTAAGGCTTTAGGAATCTTTCAACGAGAGCTTTAATAACTATACATTTTCTTTGTCCTAAGTGCAAGTCTGAGGTTGGTTTTAACATTATAACATTATAGCAAATCTTAATTCACCTACAGACCTTCTTGATGAGTTTCTGATGGACATGCACTTAGGAGGCAGAAAATCATTCAGTTATTCAAGGTCCTCATGATGAGACACATCACAATCAGTTTGAACTTTGTCAGAGTTTCTTTTATTGCTTCACATTTACAAGAGGAGGAAAAGGTTTTGATAAAAGTCTCAGGTATTCAATGCATAGGACTAGAATTCATTTGGATACACATTTCAAATACATTATGCCAAGTTTTACAATAGATAGAAGTCATATTAAATGAAAACAAAACTGCACAGCAGCAAAGAAAGTTCTTATCGTTGAGTACAGATACACAGCAATTTTCATATACGCAGTGCAAGTTCAATAATAACGGCCTGTTACCAAGAACTTCTATACATCAAAAAACACCACAGGGACAATCTGGAATTGCATGTATCGCTTATCTACTTTGATTTTTCTTTTAAAAAGACTGCAGTTGAAGTCAAGCAATTATTTTTATACAAGTTAGTAGATAATTTCTTACTACTATAAAGCTGCTCCACAAACTTCAGGCTTACCAAAGTCCGAGACGTAACGACACAAAACCCCTAAAACTGTATAAAAATCATATTAAGTAGTGTCTTGTGTTTTCACTTGATGCACTCTTTACACACATTGGCACAATTAACAGTGGCAGCAAAAATCTGAATGTTGGGACATTGTGCTCCTTGCCGTATTGAACATCTAAGAATTTCAAAACTGCTGCATTCTTAAAACTAAGGCACATTTTGGCTCAAGGAATGCAAGTCTCTTGGCATGTAGCTGTCAGTACTGGAATATTTGTTAAACGGTTCATGGTATTCAGTCCATGAATTTCAGATCCAAACACTTGAACATATGAATTGCCCACATGTCACCTCAAAGCTCAATCTCCTAAGAGGAAGCAGCATCCAGAGAGGCACTAGAAGGTCCTGGTTTTGCTGCTCAGTTTTGACAAATCTACACGGTGCGAGACGTTCAGTGGATTTTGTAGTGGTATTTCTCTGTAACTTTACAAAGTGACAAACGTCCCGGAACACTTCAGACGGCAGTAAGGCTAAAGGCGGTATTGATGTCCACGTCAAGCTGCAAGACCCAATATTACGGTCAATCGCAATCCGAGTGGAATCCAACAACACTTGTCTCCGGTCAACACCGCAACGCCATACCTATTCATTCTATTATTTGCTGTTCTTGCCCTGTCTTGTCAACTGTGCGAAAGTGGTGTATACAGAACTCCTGCCAGTTACTCATTGTAAAAGCCAAGATGCTCTCCACTGACCAATCTGGTTAAATGGTTTCATCATCATCACCATTATTAAGCATTGACCTCAAATACACAGAGAATTATGCCTGTAAACATTCAAAGTTAAAAACAAATATGCAACTACATCTATGAGGAAATATATTTAAATCAATATACAGCTGATTTAAAACCAATAAATGCTTTGTATGTGAACATATGAAATGCCATTTAACTTGATTAGATTTCTTGCAATCACTGAATAGTAAAGCAAAGATCAGCCAATTGCGTGAAATTTCTAAAGTGCAACCAAGAAAAATGCATGAATAATCATTATAAAGTATGACCGTAAACATTGTAGGCCGAGACATTTAAAAACAGAGCCTCAGATGGCAAGCACAATCAACAGTACTGACAGCTCATGCAAGTAAAACTTATTTTCTGAAACTTTCAATAGAAAAAAAATGTACCGTTTTATTATGTATTTAGTTCACATGTTAACTAGGTTGTTCAATTTAAATTTTGCAGAAAAAAACTAGCACAGACTGATAAGAAAAACAAACCTACAGATCCCAATGAAATCAAAGTTAAAGATGAGCCACAGACTGTCGGAAAAAGGGAAGTTGAACTGAGAGTTTCCTTTGGGGTTCTTCATTTCAGGTCAGATTATCTTCACACCCCAGAAAATCTGAAATTCTTGGAAAGAATCTAAAGGCCTAGTCATTTTCTTTGGGAGATGGAATGATTGCAGCCAGTAAAAAATACACTGAGACTGAGTTACATATTGTTCACCAACCCAAGACTGAAGCTCTCGTGTTTACAGAGAACAGGTGGTTGCTTTAAAACTTTAAAAAAAGACACATGCCCTACAGGGCAATCTAATACTCTGTTATTGTACAATGATGTAAGAACAGAATATCCCTTTGAGAGGATGGAAAGCTCAGACAAGATGACAGCTCTTTTCTGAACTACATTTCCCAGAAAGCTTTAGAAAGTTCCCTCAGAACCGTGTCAGTTCCATCACTCTTGTTTTACGGTTCCTTTCATCTCTCCCACTGGTGCAGTCACTTAGGCACTGACAATCAGCCCATTCAATCAGTCTCCATTCTGCATTTTGGGAATGTAGTTCATACAAGAGCTGCCACGCTGTCTGAACCAACACCCTCTCACAATCCTATTTACACACAAAAAATAATTTAATGCAACTTGGGAAACTCGATGTTTAACAGGAGGAAATACAACTGTATTCCAAGTAAATGGTGAAAATAATCCCCAAACAAAATGATGGCAAGTCTACACTTGCTCATGCGTTTTGACGGAGTTGGTATACCTAATTTTAACTGCTGGGTTAAAAAGCAATATGTGAATTTGATGTTCTGATATGTTAAGCTTTTTTTCATCCTGTGTCCTGGTGTGTCTGCAGGTTTTCTAGACACGCAGAAGCACCTGTGTAGCTGGGAGAAGCTGTTAAACAAGCAGGACTGGGGCTCCCTGTCTCCGGTTCTAGGTTCCAGCAAGTTTCCAGTTTCCTTAAATTATAAGCATCTCTTCGTCTAGGAGAAGGACTGCCTTTTCTCTACAGCCTTAAACTGTGGCAATCTGAAGACACACTGTAAAACCAGTGTCTTCATCTAGTCGCTCTTCTCTTGGTTTTTGTTCCAACTTATGTAGCCAATTAAAAACTAATGATTTTCTCAGACATATACAGGACTTTCCTTATGGCCTTCTAACAGCTGATTAAAAGATTCATCCCATTAAAGGTACACTTAACTATGAAACACCTCAGAGTCTGATTGCAAGTCTTAAGAGTTGGGTTGAACAAAAACCAGATTCCAAGACCCCTGATGCAGTCCAAGACTCTAGTTTTGATCATGACCAAAACATTTGTTTTTGGTAGAAAATACAACATTAAACACGAGTCAAAGCTAACACACCCAAACGGCAGTAAAAACTACACTCTGTTTTCAGTTTGGTCAAGGGCTGAAAAGCTAGGTCAAAAAGCATTTTACAGCATGATTACTGTTCTTGAAAATGCACTCTTGATTTTAGTTCCTTCATCAAAAAGAGGTTCAGTCAAGAGCATGTAATTGTCCAACAGTGTAACATAGTAAGAGAAACACGAGGATGTTTCTCAATGTATGCTGTGCACATGGGTGCTTTCATTATTGAAGGCTCTAAAGCAGT